TTATATATTAATATATATTCATATATTGTTCAGATCATGGAAGCAGGACGACACATGGCTGCTTTGGGTAAGACTGGAAAACTCTGAGTTCTATGGCCGAAACAGAATTGAATATTATTGCAGCTGTGAGAAGAACTCACTATACATCTGCCGCAAAATATTACAGATTAATTTGTATTCATGGTAGCCAATTACTCTCTATTTTAAAAAGATAAATTGTGCTTCACTGAAATACAAAACTCTCATTTCATCAAAATATCAAAATTTTCTGTGCTGCAACTAACCAAATGAGGAAGATAAAAGATCCACAGTAAGGACAGAAATATTTACAAATCATAAATTAACAAGGACTAGTATCTAAAATTATAAAGAGATCCTTACAACTCAATAGTAAAAGATACCCAATTTCAAATGGGCAATGAATGATAGACATTCTCCAAAGAAGATATGCAATGTCCAAAAAGCCACATGAAAAGATGCTCAACATCATTAGCATTAGCGCGAAATTCAATTAAAACAACAAATAACCACTTCACATCCAATAAACGATGTCTGTAATTTAAAAAAAGAGCACAATGGCCAAGGGTATGTGAAACTCTGAAACCTATCATAAATTGCTGATGGGACTTAAATGGCGCAGCAACTTTGGAAGACCAGGTTTGGGCAAGTCTCAAAAGCTAACACAGTTATCTAATCACACAACAATCTCCACTACTGGCGACTTACTCAAGAAAAATGAAACATGATATACACGCAAGACTGTATGTGAAGTTTTCATAGCAGCATCATTCAAAATGCCCCAAATTGGAAACAATCTATAATAGATGTCCATCAACTAGATCAAGGCAAATAAAATGTGGCATAATTCATCTATGAACTATACGCTTGTCATTAAAAAAAATGAAGTACAGTTACAGCTACAAACATTGCGATGAAACTTGAAACATTTGCTGAGTGAAAGAAGCCAGGTTATAAAGGACAAATACCGTATAATTCATTATATGAAGTCCAGAAACAGCAAAGCCATAGAACAGAAAGCATATATATACTACCCAAGCATACCCAAGACTTGGCAGCTGAAGGATGAGGAATGGCAATACCTAATGGGTATAAGCAAGTTTCTTTAGGAGGAGATGGAAATGTCCGTAAATTATATTGGGGGATTGTGCACAATTTAATGCATATAATTTACAATTTGAACTGTATCTTTAAATGGATGAGAAAAACGTTATTTTAAACTGTACAATATCTTTGATTAAAGCCTTTAAGTTATAAACTAGCAAATATACCAGGTTTAATATCTCTTATAGTAATATTTACCTTATGAGTACTTACTGACTTACCTATTACTCGTTTTAGGCTTTCGTGTATTAACTCAATACACAAAGTGACTATGTGAGATGGCTACTGATTATTCCCTCTAAAGGAGAAGGATCCAGTGCTCACAGAGACCAAAGTATATAATTAAGGCTAACACAGTGACACTTCAGACTACGGGCTAACTTGCAGCTTAAATTCCATATTTTAAAATTCACACTATATTGCATTCCCACCTCCTAACACAACAGAGTTCTAATCTTATTTAACATTCCCAGGGCAGCATGGACTACCATGATGTGGGTGATAGAACAGCTGTGGGTCATGAACTATAAACAGCAAATGAATTCTAGGAGATGAACATAAAACTCACTTTTTTGTATATGATATGGATAGGAAAACAAGAAGAATAGATTTAAAGATAACCTACTATGCATGGCCAGATAGAAAATAAATAGCAGCACTGGAAATATGACATTGACAGGAAAAAGGTAAATATTATATAAATGTACCTGTCAGAACATTTTTGGCCTGCACAGCTACTGAATATCAAGCTCACGTTGACTAAACACTAACGTGTTATCATCCTTATAGCAAGGGAAATAGGTAGCTGTTCCAGTGATGGTCATGGCATTGGAGTCTCAGGCACTGTTTATCCTTTTGCTTGGCCAGATTGGATAGGTCTCTGCCCTCGGCTGTCCCTCTTCTTCGTACCAAATGAAAAACTGCATCTTTAAATTTACAGATTTGCCATTAACACCCGGTAAACGATACACATTCTCTTTTGCAGTCTTTTATCACAGAGAAAATCCGCTGCCAACCTTACTCACTCCTAAAGTGGAATCCTGCCAAAATCCTTCTCACCCACTTCCTTGCCTCTTCAGCAGCAAGGGACTTGCATGATACTCAGTCGCCATTTCAAATCAGTCACCTGTAGCAGAGATAGAGTGTGATAAATGGCTTTGACTAATCAACATCTACCTCTTTAGGATACCAGTTGACAGCATGTAAGAGGGTGGACACCCAGGTACATGCGAGGCTATGGGCTGGAAAGAAGAAAGGTGGAAGGCTGGTTGTTGGTTTGCGGCAGCAGTGTCCTGCCACAGAATAGTAAGTTGCTAAACACCATGCCTTTACAATAATAGCCTTAACCACAAAACCAAAGTGCCATTTCTCATGAATCTGCGTGGGAAGACTCTATGTTAACACAAATTTCTCTCAACAACAATAAAAATGGTGAACAGTATCACGCTTTGAGTATTGCCAAGATATTGTGGTTGATTTCTCTTTGAAGCATGGTAAGATTATCATGGAAATGCTAATGTTTAGACAAGTGGATGTTTTCAAATGATTCTTTAATAATAAATATGACTGCACTACCAATTGGAAGCAATAAAACTGAGTCAAAAGATTTTTTTTCCCTTGCTAGAGAAAAATTGGAATAAACCTTTAAAATCAAATTTAGTTTTCTTAAAGTAAGCCATTAGGTGAGTAGATTCATACAGTTGGTGTGGAAAGGTTATGACTGACATTCAGAATTACCAAGCATTAAGTTCATTTCTTATCATTTAATTTTCTTTTCCTAATTTAAATTCTGTTTGCAATGTTTCAAGTAATGTTATTCACTTTTAATGTTTTTTAATTCCATACTTCGCTATCCTTTTCACAGTACCCGAGTTAAAACTGCAGCACAGAAGCCATGTTCTTCATCTGCTATAACACAAGCAGTTCTTTTAACCATGAACCTTTGAGGTTCTATTAGTTTCTAGGAGGGAAAACTCAAGTTTTTCTGAACTCGTGCATAAGAGTTATGAATAACTACTTCAAAATACAAACCTTTAAGGATATCTTGTGCTTAAACACCTATAACATCTGTTAACTACACCTCTCCTAAAAGCTTATGTGCACCAAGAATTTTAACCCTGCACCCTCTGAATAGGTGGATGTTCCGTTTCTTTTGTGAGAGAACAAAGGCCTCACATTCATCCGAGGCTTAATCCGAGTTTTAGGTTTGATAAAACCGGTGTAAGTTGGATGGCAGAAAGAGACAGGTACAGTTTGGGATGATATGAGTTACTATCAGAATGTTTTACTTTGATCATATGCAGATATTCTAATTTTAGAAAATTAAAATTAATTAGACCACTACAGAAGGGACAAAGGTAAAGGAGTTAAAATAAATAGCTTTCAAAACAGTAGCTATACTGCAGTAGGGCGAGCCTTAAAAAATAAAGTATTTCCTACTTCAGATTATAATTTGAACAGGAGGAGAAACTGACTCTCTTCTTTCACTGTCAATTCCAGAAGTAGCACTGACTAACTAGTACCTTTAATCACTCTATATATGATACATATACGGGGGAAAAAATGCGTGGTCCACGCCTGAGAGGACAATGCTTATATTTTATGGGTGAGTGAGGCTCTCCACTGTCAAAAATCCTGAAATCGTCCCCCAATCTGGGAGCCCCATTCTCCATCTGTTTATCAAGGTTAAAGGAAGCAAAAGAAAACTTCTCATCTGGCGGAGGTCCCTGGAACAGACGCCGGCCGTGAAATAAAGGAAAGGGTTTGGCGTCAATCCCCCAAACTCTCTGGTCAAGACGAAGGTTAACGCACCATCCCCAGGCGTGCCTCCAGGGGCAGCTCCGTTATCCGTAGGACAGTTCAGATGTATTTAGCCCCTCCATCCAGAAAGAGCCGAGAGACTCTGAAAGCAGGAGCGCCAGAGCGGAGGAGTGGGGACCTCCTTGCACACCCTCGCGCCTGCGGGTCTCGGGAGCAAAGCACGCCACAAGCCAGGCCGCCCGGTCGCTGCGCGATGGGAGGGCGGCTGCTCCTCCGCGCTCGGGCGGCCGGCAGGGCGGGAGGGAGTGGCGTGGGGGTGGACGGGGAGGCAGGGGGTGGGGTGGCGGGGGGCCCCTCTGTCACTGCCGCGCGAGAGCTGTAATAAATGCCCGCGGGCGCCGAGGAGCGGCGGAAGCCGATGGGCCGCTGGCTCGCGCCGCCAACCGAGCAGAGCCTAGTCGCCACCCGCGTCGCCGCCAGGCGCGCAATCGCCCTGGCCCCGCAGAGAATGCTCGGAGACGCTCGGGCGCCCACCCTGGCAGGCTAACGAGGCAGCTAGCTCCCTCTCCGCCGCAGCTCGCACGCTGTGACTTTGGAGCGCTTCGCCTGCCGCCTCAGTTCCAGGGCGCGGGAGACCGCGGAGGCAGAGCCTGGTCGCCCCCGGGCGCGCGGTGCACGGGTCCCTCCCGAGCGGGGCGCTCTGTGGGCGGCAGTGTCCGGGGACTCGGGGCGGCTGCGGAGGCCGCCGTCCCGCTCGGCTCGGCTCTCCCCGGGAACTTCACACTGGAGAGGTAAGGGGGGCGTTAAATGCATCGCCGCGGGTTCAGGCTGCCAACTTTCCCCATCGTTTTTTTTTTTTTTTTCTTTTAAAACTCTGCCTTAAAAAAAAAAAAAGAGGCAACTTATAAAGAATGGCCAGGCCCAGGGGGTGGGCTGGGGGGTGGGCTACGCGGCCAGCGGAAGCTCGTTCTTGTAAGTGACTTTGTGGGTTCACCTCCCTCTGTCGCGCGCTTGGGTTAAATGAAGAGCGCGCGCGCCTCCGGCGGGTGGGGGGGAAACTCTGAGGTCCCCGGGGAGCTGCTGGCTTTCTCGGGTGCAGGCCACAGGTCAGGCACAGACTTTCCAGGAAATAATGACTGAGTTCTTGACCTGCGTCCGGATAAGAGATTTCTCCCAGTGACCGGAGCCATTCATTCTCGAGAGTTCGCAGGCCGCCCTGGAGGTACCCATGGGTACGTGTGTGAACAGCCGTTTATTAAGACATTCGCCCCCAACTGGGGACTACTGTGGACATTATGAATGTTGTGAGCCAGCGACGGGACGCTGGAATAAAATATACCTTAAATGGAAGTATACTCTAAAACTACCTTTAGAAAGAAACATGGACCTCTAGCAGAAAATAAAACATTCTAGGTAGATAACATCCTTTGCGGACTTATATGTAATACAGGGCCATTGAAATCTTGTAATTCAAATAGTATTTCCAAGCTTTGACTCTTCTGGGCTGCTTTTGCCATCTGTTTTTGGCTTTACGGATATTGCCTTGGGAAATATAGTTGTCTGTTTTGTGGAAACATACACTGTGAAAAGTCCCCTGGAAGAAAAAATGTGGGTGTCATTTGTTGGTGTTATGTAGACAAGTCAAAGTACACGACTTGTCGTTGTAAAGTTTGCTTTTGTTATTAAAAATTGAATATCTGCCTTATGTTCATCTTAATTGGCATGACATGCGTTATAGCCGAAAGGACCGGGGAAGGGCCTGCTTGCGAGATTTCCCGGGTGAAAATCCTAGGTGTTCATTATGGAAGTGTACCGCCCTTTGGGCGAGTGGCTCCAGAGTGGACCACAGCTCAGTCCAATGGCTAGAGCATTCCAGCCATGGTGCCGTCCTAATGCCCACGTATTATTGGAGAACTTTTGGAAAAAGTACATGGATTGAGGGATGGGTGAGTGCGGGTGGGTCGGCCAAGCAAAGGATGGAATAAGGGCCATCACAGACAGATGGCACTATGCAGAGTATCTTGACCTTCCATAATAATTACGAAGTCAGGGTGTACCAACAGGCTTCTAAGTTATGGGAGTATATGACTAAGGAAATTTCCATGGTATTACAAAGAGAAATGTCTATTTTATGTTCGGGTCACCCCTGGTTAAATTTTCTCAGCTATTTTAATCTTTAACCATTTGTCCAGTATGAGGATTTAAAAAAAAAAAAAAAATTTTCTTTTGGGGAGGTGTCTTCTTCTGCATCTTCTTTTCTCAGATCCTCCGTTCTAAGAGCATCTTGAATTTCAGAGTAGAATTATAAAAATACCTTTAAGATGCAGATGTTCCTACATACAATGCTGCTTAAACTCAACTTGCTACCAGAAGGTCTACTAATACTGAGAATGCTGAAGAGTTGGTATATTGCTTTTAAGTGCTTGAATAGGGACAATTGCTTCCTAATTCCTAACTGAACCTTCTCAGAATAGTGGAATTGGAAAAGTCAGAGACTATAATTTCAAAGGAGTCTTTTCCTGGAGGCTGATATATATATAATAAAGTATATAGTTTATGATGGCCTTGTTCTTACAAAATATGTAAATGGCATTGTAAAGGATACATTCTATGGTTGCTGCATGTTAGAGAAACTTGTGGCAATGGCTTTCTTTCTGGATTCATTATTTGTGAACTTAGAAGCATGAAAATAAGCCTGGGAAAATGACTTTAAACAAATATGCAACTTATTCTAATGACCTTAACTCCTCTTAAAGTAAATTAGCAGTTTGAGAACAATATTCTTAAAACTATCCAACATATAATTCAATAACTATTATTTCATACCCTAATATCAGAAAACTTAAGGAAAAATCTATTATATTACTTCCATGAATTCTGGAATGCACTAGTAAAGCCTGGAAATATATAATTTTGGTGATGGCAACGGTTGTTTAATGAAAATGAAGAAATGACATTTCTCCTTGGGGTACACTGGTAGGTAGTGTTGTAGTTAATTTTAGAACATTTCTAGTTTTTCTTCTTTCCTGCATTTACATTCAGTTTTGATGGGTATTCTCGCATTTAGGTAGCTTCCATGAAACATGGGAAGTTCTAAGTTCCATACCCATTACAAAATGCACCATAATTTTTAACTGGAAAAAAAATATTTATCCTTAAAGAGATAAGTAGCACTCAAAGAACTAATCGGACATAAAATTGGGACCAGAATTGAGCCCGCATAAGTTATTTTATCTGGCCACTGACCACCTACTAGCTGGGACTTTAGGCACTTACTAATCTTCTCTCTGCCGTTTATGCCGATGTGTTCTAGTATGTGTACTCCACCTCAAGGGTGTGTGAAGATTAATATGAGATAACCCTGGTAAAGTCTAGCTCATTATCAGCATACTCGCAATCTCAGTAAATATCTGCTAAGACATATATTCCTTAATTTTATGTCTCTTCAACTGTTTAATATGAGCTATCAGGAAGTGTTAGCTCTTCCAATCCCTGCAGGGATGTGGACATCTGTGAATGTCTGCATATTTCTGCTCTTGTATTTTTAAAGGTGTTTGCCCAAAGTGAAAAATTCTGTGACTTCTCATCGGAGACTTCCAACAGAAAATTGCCAATTAGGAGTCTTTCCAACTAGGCCCAGCTGACTGCTTATCTCCATGTGGATTAGGATATTCAGTTCATTATTATAAATAAGCATACTTTGGAAGATCAATCCTCACAAAAAGGAATCTGATATAATTCGTATGTATTATTAAGTAATTATGGGAAGTCATGGAAAGAACAGTTCTGTGATTGCGTTTTCAGCGTCTGACTTCCAAAAAAAATAACCTGCTTTTGGTATGAGTGTCTGGTCTGGATGTTATATGAGTTTCATTTTAGTTTCCACTGGTTTCATCTATCCTTGAAATGTAGATTTCAGAAACCAGGCCAGGGTTTATATTGTGTTGCCCTTAGAACTGTTGGCACGGAACGGTGCCAGCCATTTAACTAGGCGTGCAGGAGGAACATTACCCAACTGTAATACTGGAACACAGGTTTCTAGGAATAACACTTAAGGGAAGGCTAAAACATCTATTTATATTGAAATACTTTGATTTAAGGTATAATAGCAATGTAAAATAGAATATAGATCATCTTTAAAAATACAATTATTCAGATTTAAAGTGTATTATTTTGGGAAAACAAATTAAAAAGCTGGCTGAAAGCTATCCTGTAAAATTCTGGCATGTTCTATGATAAGGCCATCCACGTGTGGCCACTACCCTTATAAGCATTCTCATGTTGAATGCTTGAATAGCCAGTTACTATTTATTTCACTTAAGTGTGTATTTACTCTATTCTGTTCTTTGAACCTATGCAGCCAAGTACATTCCACACTACTACATACATATCTATATCCCTACCCTAAATTGTAAGGTGGTTAAAAATTGAGAATGGAAAGTATCTCCTCATGCTTTCCCAGAAAAGAAAAATCTCCAGGTAAACATCATTTCTAGCATGCTATGCTTTGTTTATTTTGTGGATTGTAGTTCTCCTGCCCACAGTTTACACATCCAGGAACATGTGTGTACTCCTCTGAGAAATACAGAATATTCAAAAAAATCCAAATTTGTTTGTTCATTAAACATACATGGTAAGGAATACAAATAGAGAACCTGATCTCTGTTCTCAGGGAGATTTTAGCATTGTTGGAGAAATACAACAAGTATATAAATAGCTGTAATTTACAAAATAGAAAGTGATAAGATTTAGAGAAAAGTGAAATAACAGAGTATGACTGGTTAGATTAGTTAAAATTTTTATGACCAGGACATCTAGGGTATAGATACTCAGAAAAGAATAATTGGAAGCTACTTCAAGTAGTAAAAGTATCAAGAAAAACACAGAAGAACGTACAGAAAGTATTGACATTTTTTCAGATGCACAGAGGGCAGTAAAGCTAGTAGAAGACAACTGAAAAAAGAATCATTACATTTAGTGATTGGCAATCAGTCAAAATTTAAATGGACAGCAAAATAGGTCTTCTACAAATCTAAAAGTAAGCTTAAAATGATTACTTTTCTGCAATCAAGAAATAAGGAGTTTCCAGGTTATGACATTAACATAGATCTCAGCAGTTATAGTTTTAAATAATCCAACTAAAGCATTATAGTAATTCTAGATTTAAAAAACAATGGCATTTTCTATCTCTTAATTCTGAAATCTGACCTTTCTTCAGAACAAATTCATTAAGTGTTTTTTAGTGATAACTACAAGAAATACAGATACAATCACTGTAATCTTAAATTATTCCTCCTTCACACAATGACACAAAAAATCCATTTTAGCAAAGACCTGATTGTAAGATGTAAAATAATAAAGTTAGAAGATAACATAGGAGACTTTCTTCATCACTTTGGGACAGGCAAATATTTCTCTAACAGATCCCACACAGTGCTAACCATAAAGAAAAAGATTGATAAATTGGACTTCATTAAAATTAGGACATTCTGTTCATCAAGAGACATGATTAAGAGACTCAACAGGCAAAGCAAGGAGAAGAATAAGAAATGTAAAGCATACTTTATACCTAAAAAAGTATATGTACACAACACTTGAAAAAATTCCTACAAATTAGTAAGAAAAAGATATACAACCTAGTTTATCTACTTAAGTTGTACATAAAATACTTTAGCAATCAGCAATTCTATTTGACCTATATTGCCAATTTAAAAAAAAGTATAAATCTGTCCACAAAAAGACATGTATAAGAATGTTCTCAGGAGCATTATTTTTTAATAGTCCTAAACTGGAAAAAAACCCTAATATTCAACAACTGAATGGATAAACTGTGGTATGTTCATCAAAGAGAAAGAATAAATTGCTGCTATACATGGCAACATGAATGAATCTTATAGACATATTGAATAAAAGAAACCAGACAACAAAGAAACCAAACAATGAAATCATCTACTCTATGATTCTAGTTATGTAAAGATAAAAACAGGACAAACTAATTTTAGATAAGAAATTAGAGTATTAGTTATCTTTGGGGAAGATGCAACAGGAAGGAGGTGCAAGGAGTCTAGAGGGATGATTATGTTGTCTATCTGAAGCTGAGTGGTTTCCACATAGGTATGTTCACTTTGGAAAATTTCATTGAGATGCATTCTTAAGATGTTTTTACTTTAATGCATGTATGTTACATTTCATTAATAAAGTTTTAATAATCAATTACATACTGGCAGTTAGA